ATTCGGTACATGGACGTAATCAGCAGTCTGTGTGAGGAATCTTCCATTATTGTATCTAGTTCAAAACAGCATAACTGGTCCCATACAAATACACACACTATGTAGTAAATTACATAGTCAATATGGCCACAATACCCCAGATAGTATATACTAGGATCTCTAATTCTATACAGTGCTGAAATAATAAACATAACAGTATATTATGAACAAAAAACTGATATATGACACCAAGGCAAAAAATAAGGGAAAATCAAAGTTTGAATGTTTTGGTGTAATGCAAATCCCCTTCTTTCCAACATGGAAGAAAAATACATTTAAAATATATCTTAAAAATATTTTTCCCAAATATATAGACATACATTTGAAATACTACAATTTTAACCTTATTTAATATATTAAAAAAAAAAAAAAAAAAAATATATATATATATATACTGTATATACACTGTATGTTGAAATGCGTTCAGATTTTTTTTAACATATAAAAAAGTCATTTTAACATATATTTTTACATATATATGTAAATGCATTCCAAAAATGTAGATTACAAGTATTTTTTATATATATATGTGTGTGTGTGTGTGTGTGTGTGTGTGTGTATATATATATATATATATATATATATATATATATATATCCTGCAAAACCTACTTGAAGCAGGTCAAATGCACGCCAAAATGAGATCAACTGCTCAAGAAATGTACTTGCCAATGAATTATCTTAGTAAGAACCAGTGAAAATGTGGCACAACTCCATTCCGCCACATCCGCCACATCCGACACAACTCCATTCCGCCACATCCGGCACAACTCCATTCCGCCACATCCGGCACAACTCTATTCCGGCACAACTCCATTCCGCCACATCCGCCACATCCGGCACAACTCCATTCCGCCACATCTGGCACAGCTCCATTCCGCCACATCCCACACAACTCCATTCCGCCACATCCGGCACAACTTCATTCTGCCACATCCCACACAACTCCATTCCGCCACATCCGGCACAACTCCATTCCACCACATCCGGCACAACTCCATTCCGCCACATCCGGCACAACTCCATTCCGCCACATCCGCCACATCCGGCACAACTCCATTCTGCCACATCCCACACAACTTCATTCCGCCACATCCCACACAACTCCATTCCGCCACATCCGGCACAACTCCATTCTGCCATATCCCGCACAACTCCATTCCGCCACATCCGCCACATACGGCACAACTCCATTCTGCCACATCCGGCACAACTCCATTCCGCCACATCCGGCACAACTCCATTCCGCCACATCCGATACAACTCCATTCCGCCACATCCGGCACAACTCCATTCCGCCACATCCGGCACAACTCCATTCCGCCACATCCGGCACAACTCCATTCCGCCACATCCGGCACAACTCCATTCTGCCACATCCCGCACAACTTCATTCCGGCACAACTCCATTCTGCCACATCCCGCAATAGTTCCATTCCACCACATCTGGCACTAGCTCTGTGCTCACCGCTTTCAATTTATACACAGAAGCCAGGCTTCTGTGTTTCTAGGTGACAGAGCATATATCCTGGCAGCTCCGACATAACTCTCCCTGCCCCCGCACTCAGGGCTGGCACAAGGGAGCTGCTGGCAGAGCATAGTGTATTCATGGGTCTTAAGGGTTCTTTTTTTAACTTCTGGTATTTGTAGTCCAGATAATGCTGCAGTGTAACTAGACACACTTCCCACTCTGTCAGCCGGAAATTATGTGTTTCCTCAGCATTGAACACTAGAGGGGAAGAAGTGGAATCACAGTCTGTGCAGCAAATGTTCCTGAATTGCAGAATGACCCAGCCTGAACCCGGCTACATACGTATTAGAGGATGGTGGTGAAATGAAAGGGTCTGCAGTGCACTAGGCTGTATACACTCCTGACTCCTGCACTGTGTACATTGTATACACCTGAAATTCGGAAGGAACCCTCTGCACACTGCTATATATCCTTTCCAGCAAACTTAGCAATAAAAAACAGGGATGGGATTTTTAGTTCACACATATTGCAATACATGTTTAACATGGCCAACTGCATCAAAGTAATCCCTTTTAACCAGTGCTCTGCTGGACACTGATAGAAGTCACAAGACTGTTCTAAATGCAGATGGGAAAATGTATTTAGCAGTTTATATTTACTAAAATAATTGCATTTCCATGTTCTGTGTAATGTGGGAGACCAGATGTAGTGAATGTAGGGCCCTGGGAGACCAGATATAGTGAATGCAGGGTCCGGGGAGACCAGATATAGTGAATGCAGGGTCCGGGGAGACCAAATATAGTGAATGCAGGGTCCGGGGAAACCAGATATAGTGAATGCAGGGTCCGGGGAGACCAGATATAGTGAATGCAGAGTCCGGGGAGAATCTTGTCTGTTAGGAAGCAGTTTGTATGCATCTCTCATCTTCCAAATATGTGGCCGACTGAAACACAGGTACCTGAGAATGGTTGTACTGTGCCTATACTCTCGTGTATATGAATAGATTTAAACCCCGACTGGATGATTTTAGTTTGCTAAAGCGTAAAGTGTATGATGAACAACTGCCATTTTTTTTTATAAAATACAGTTTCACCTTTTTTTTAGCCTTTTATTTCAGTGCTGCGGACCTCCTGCATCCATGCCTTCACTTCAGCATCAGCCAAACATTATTATTCTGGACTGGCTTCCTGATTCTTGGCAACAATGGACAACGCCTGTGCAATATGTGTCGACACGGATGCTCGTAGTCTTTCATGGGTGCATGTGACAGGGTGGCAGTGCAGGAGCACAGATGTCAGCCAAAAACAGGAAGTGCCTGAACAAGGACCTTCATGGCAGGATGACCTGGCATTCTCATAATGAAAACCATGAAAAGAATGCACACAATTTAGAAAATGACAATAATGTTTTTAAACTCTATACAATTGTTATGATTGGGTTTAGATGTACTTTAATGCTGCACCTGGGGAAATAAAAAAAAATACAACCCTTGCAGTGGGGCTCCTCCTGCACTGCGAGTGTTAAATGCGCTTATTTGGTTAGGGTACCATAAAAAAAGCACTTTAAAGCTGGCCATACATGTATAGAATTTCTACTGAATTGGCCAAAATTCACTCCGTGGGTGGTCATGTTGTCAATACTCGGATCAGCATAGATGGTGGAATCTGCTAGATTTCTATACATGTATGGCCAGCTTTACTTACCTTATTATCCCTCTATCCCACAGGTTTCCTACTTTCTGAGTGTCTGGTCCCTTAAAGCCACTTCCTTTCTGCAATCTCTCCGTCGGTTGTACTCTGACGTCATCACGTGTAATGCAGGACCAGCAGACTTGAAGCACTGGAGGAAGGAGGAGAGAGCTGGCTGCTGGGGGAGTGAGGTATAAGGTATGTAAAAGTCCTTTTTCAAGTAGATTTGAAGGGAAAACCTTTTAAACTAGTTTTGGATAGGGTGAAGAGGGATCGGAACACCCGTCAGGGGAGATGTACCCTCTCTAATTGTCCTTGCGATCATTATCATTGACAGTGAAAGTGAAAGGAAATATCAATCTTCCAATTGGGACACTTGTCCTGGTGACCCTGGTGACTACCAGAATTTCATTTACTTTGAAGGGATTTCCTTTAACTTCTTGTTGTGGCTATGGGACAGGAAGTGAAGGGAATTCTCCCCAATGGGACAGAAATGGGAAAAAAACTGACAGAGGTTATAAATGAATACAAAAAAACTGATACTGTGCTACTCGACAACAACCTAAACAGTGAAAATCATACACCCAAAAAATCCCATCTGTGACCAAATATGATGGTGAATAAATGTAAATATAGAATTATAAATGTAAGGTGAACAAAAAAAAATATATAGTAGTGATGAAAAATCAATCAATCAATCAAATGTGAATAACACCAACACAATGTGAAAAAAATTCCAACCAAAATAGGTGACTAAAAAAATATATCTATAGCTCTCTCTCTCTATATATATATATATATTATGTATATAAATGAATAAGTGTGCAAATAAACGTCCAACACAGAAGTGCACAGTCCCAATAAATCTATGTGTCTTCAGGAGCAGAACAGAACAAGAATCCAGTGGCCACTGCAAACAAAAACACAATCCTCCACTAGCTAGCATGTGCGCTCACCTCCAAGCTGCGACCCCCAAAGGGTCATAAAACTTTGGACTGCTCTCAAATGATATTATCCCTGTGAATCCCCTCGATGGTTGTCCAGGCAATCTTCAATGGTGGAGACAATGAGCACTCATACAGAGGTCCCTGCACGGATATGGCCAGACACTTTTTTCTCCAAATGACCCACCCATGGAAAATTAAAGAGAGCTTCCCATAGTTTAATATGTCAAAAACAAAGTGACTACTCACATAAAACACAGGGTCACCAGACCCATAAAACATGTAACGCTTAGCACCCTACCAGAGGGATTCCTGCAGGACTAGGATCACGGCTATTACTGCTGGGCTGTTTATCACTTCCTCATTGTGAGTTTTACCATTTGTGGCTTATTAAATATCTTTTTATAATACATTTCAGAAGGCACCTTTCTTTCTTTCCTTATTATGACATTTTTTTTATCCTATTCACTGGTGCTGTAGCATGTGCATTATTACAGAACATAGTTTGTATTCATTCCTTAGGAGCATATTCAAATAAGAATCTGGAATTAACTTTACAACTAACATACACTAAAAAAAGGAATAAAAACATCAGTGTAGTAAATTGAAAATAAACATTTCTAAATATGAAACATCAGTGCAAAATTAATGACTTTGGAGTCAAAATGATACAATAGTTGCTTATTTTTGGTCCCATATTTTTATTTATTTGCTAAACATTATTATTAATTAAACAGATGTGAACAAAACTGCAGACATTGTTCTACATTGCAGTGAAGCTGTGTAAGCTCTTGTCCGTGGTCTGGCACAGTTCACAGCACATCTCTGTCTATTCTTCTCTAGGAGAGTTGCTTCATAGTCATCCTAATGATAGAAGGGTTTCTTCTGTATATCGTGAACGAACAATACCTGTCCTGTAACAGGAAAAAAACCTAAGCTTTATAAAATACAAAGTAGAAAAGGCAATGATCATCCAGCTCTGAATAGTAATTATCTGTTCTTTTTCTCCATAAGGCCCCATTCACACCTGAGCGTTTGTTTTTTGTGCATTTTTTTGCGTGTTTTTATGCCCGTTTGCAAACTTTTGATCAGGCTTTTTCGGGGTTTTGAGTTCTGGCCTTTTTGTGTAAGCCAACAGAGAAAAATGTAATCGGTGACATCATTTGTTCCATGTTTTGCCATTGCAGCAGAGAAACACTCTTGGTCATGCAACAAAAATGCGATAAAGCGCATGAAAATACGTGATTTCCGTGTTTCCATGTATTTCTATGGGAACAGAAATTTGCCAAAAACATATCAATCTGCTCGAACGGAGCTACAAAAGTAGCTCCAAAACTTTTTTGAGCTTCAGGAGTTCTGTTTCATTCGACTTGGAGTGGAGATGTCAACCATCTCCATAGAGTAATATTGATTTTCTCCCTGAGAGTTTTGGAGCTTCGAGCTTCAGGCTACAAAACGTTCAGTTGTGAATGGGGCCTCATATAGCCAATTAGGATTCTGTAAATCTAAGCAGACCCCACATGTACTTTCTTACAAGATATATGAATGGGGCACAACAAACATGGAAAATCATTAGCGCGAGCCTTCCAAGACAAAAAATGGCACCTTATACCCAGTAACAATAACCCAAACATTTCATGAATTTTACCTAAACCTGCACGTAGCGCTACTCCCATAGTTGCCTTCCTCCATGATACCAGACCATATCTTCAGTAGATGACCCCTCAATCAACATAGCAGAAGCCAAGCCTCAGCATTCAGGCCTTCAGGACAAGCAGAGGACTCAGTTCACCCACCTGAGGCCACATGGCAGCAGTTGCCTGGGAGGGCAGCATGCCCCCTCTAATCTGGACCCAGAGCCCAGTGTGCTCACTGAATATCTGAATATATACAGTTACCCAGCATGCCATTAGAATGCCATTAGTGCCTCTCAGGAATAGGCTGCCATTAGTTTCTCAGGGATAGGCTGGGGCTGTATGAATATCCATGCTGCCATCTGCATAGCTCCAAACCTATTATCCAGAAGCTTTTCAAGCTTTCTGGATGCAGAGAGAGCTATCAGGCTGGCAGCAGCTGATCACTCTAATCAGACCTAACTAGAAGAACACAGCAACATTGATTACTGTGTGCAAGTTAGGCTTTGACCTAACAACAATCACAGCCACACTGACTACAGTGTGACAATTAAATGTACCTATCAAAACAGATATCTCGGTTGATGAATGAATCAAGGCCCTGCAGGTAAAGCTCTCACCCTTTCTCCACCTTGGACTACCTCTAATGGTTTAGGCGCTAATGGTTTAGGCTTTTTATACACACACTATGGATGTAAAAACAACTCACCAATTATGCTCTTGCTAGGACATCGATTTTTTTTTCCCCATGCTTGTTGGACTATCACTTTAATACATGGTCAACCCACCATCCATTTCTACTTTATCAAATAATTTGAAACTCTACCTCTCAATTAACATTTTAACTCCAGTAACACAACCCCCATGGACCAATAGACACAATTGACTCTCACAATTTATATGAATCTTCAAAGTTAAGTCACTGATAGAGCTAAACGCAATTGAAAAGAAAACTGTCATTAAATGTCTTATCCTGGATACTTATCCCAATGGGAAAAAGAACTCAACGATCCAATTACATATGATCGAAAATATATGATTCTTCAACTCTCTCATGTATCTTCCATATTTTCCAAAATTATAGAAATTAACTACAGACTGTCATCCAGATGGTATAACACCCCGACACAATTAGGTAAACTTTTTTTATGACTTTTCTCCGGATTAGCAATTTGTGTTACCAAGCAATTGAACAGGCGTACCTAATAAAGTGGACGGAAAGTGGATATCCAATTAATTGAACCTACTCCTGTGCAGTTGCAGTCAAGACCACTCCCCTCCCATCTCCAGCTCCTTTCTCTTCATTGTACCCTGTTTCTCTATCTTCTTTTTCCCCCCTTTTCTTGCTTCCTTTTTTACATTTTCATCCAAGAGCAGAATGGGAGGTTTGAAAGTTGTGATGCATCCTGTACTATTTGCATAACCCAATTGGTGGTATCAGAAAACCTGCATAGATGTTAGTTCCTGGTTGGATTAAGGTGTTCTAAGGTGTGAATATGGGGTATCTTCCTGGCACTTCAGAAACTGAAGAAGTGGCTTAGAAAAGCTATTCTTTATGAGGTCAATGACATCAGAGAAGACAATCTGAACCCATAATCCCCTTGCTCCCTGCCAGACAATAAAACAAAGGATTCACAGGGGTTCCTACTTATTTGCTAACCAGAATGAGTACAAGTAGGAAGCCAATATTCCAGGATGACTCCAAGCATGCTGATTCCTGTTTTGCTGTAATCCTGAACCAATATACAGAATTTCAATGTGGTGTGAACCATTTGTCAATCTTGCTGCTTGGAGATGGCACCATCTTACCTGCGCTTTTTAAAGTGCTTCAAAAGGAATGCCAACCCAACCACACACATAATAGTTACAATGGTGATCCCGGCAATTAGCCCACTTGATGTGCGATGATTCCTATCTGCAATAAAGAAATAAGATCAGAAGTTTAAGTGGTTCTAAAGGCAAAAAACGTTTTTACCTTATTGCATTCTCTGCATTAATAGCTAAGTTTACCTTTGTAGAAAAAACAATAAATGCACATATTTTTCTTGCAGGAGCCTGAGAAGCATAATCAGTGTACCAGGGCATTGGCGTCCCTAGAGGGGTGCGGGGGGTGCAGGCCACACTGGGTGACACCATCACAGGGGGTGCAGGAGCAGAAAATGCCAGCAGAACTTCTGGGCTCTGTGAAGGTCCTGGCCAGTTATTGGGGTGATCATGGATTCCTGGCACAGTGACAGCTTCCCCCGGGGTAGTGGTAAAATGAGTATCCCGGCCCCTGAAGATATGTATCCCCTGAAGCAACTGCACATGCGCCGGTTTCAGGCAGAAGAAGCCGATTGCCGATCTCCAACTTTAGCACAGAGCTGCCACAGTTAACCCCTTACAGGCCCCAAACCACTGAAACTGATGGGTTGCAAGATCAGTTAACCCCGTATAGGTTTAACCTGTATGGGGTTAACTGATCTTGCAACCCATCGTGATCTGCGGGATCAGCTTCAGCGGCTTGCAACCATAAGGGGTGAACCAACCCTAGGGACGCCTCTGGACAATATCAGGCTTCTGTAGACAAGGCTGTCTGAAAGCTGCAGGGCTTGTGAATGAACTACTAGAGCACTCATCAGCACTGTGGCAGTTCATTCAGAACTACAAGTCGCTGCATGGGGGTAGTTGTAATTCATTCATTCATGTTCCAAAAAGGGAAATTAGCCTTTAAGTTAAAAGAACCTTTCAATAGCAGCTCCCCCCAGTCCCTGTTAAACACCTACCTGAGTCCTGTATTGATCCAGCACTGTGCCCATCTACAGGTCTTACATACTGTAGTTACAAAGTTATGGTAAGGTTGAATAAAGACGTCAATCCATCTAGTTCAATCTGTGCATGATGAGTTCATGTCAAAAGCATGGCCTGTATCCCTGTATATTGTGTTTGCCAAGATACCTGTCCAAAATTTTTTAAAAACTATTAATGCTTCCTGCTGACACCGCCAGCTTGTGAATGAAGTTCTACATCCTTACTGCCCTGATAGTGAAAAACCTAGTTTAAGGTTAAATCACTTCTCTTCAAATCTCATTGAATGGCCCTGTGTCTTATTACACACTCTGAGACTGAGCAGTTTATTCCCTATACTAGTATCACCATTGAGATACTTGTATATCGCTGTCATATCTCCTCTCAAGCATCTCTTCTCCAGGGAGAGTAAGTTTAGTGTTTGTAATCATTCCTCATAACTAAGATCCATCCAGCCCCCTTATTAACTTTGTTGAACTTCTCTGGACTCTCTCCAGTTTCCGCACCTCCTTCCTGAGGATTGGTGACCTGATTATTTTAGCTGCCCTGATTGCTCTCTTACACTTTTTATTGCACTCCTTGGTAAGGTTGGAACGCTGACAATGACCCTCTGCCTTATATTCTTCTGTCCCCTCTTTCTGTATTCACACAAAAGAGGCAACTGTAGGAGCATTGGCTTCTGTCAATCAAATCCTGTTAGGAGGGAGCAGGGGTGTGAGTTCCAGCTGTACTGTGTGTGTCTATGCACACAGCCTGGATCAGGAGAACCCCAGCACAAGTGCCCCATAGCAGCCGGCTTGCTATGGGGGCACTTGCAGAAAAAGAGGAGGGAACTGCACCAGCAGGATGGGGGACCCCAGAAGAGAAGGTAAGCTGTTGCTCCTCCCATTAGACAGAGGTAAGTATAACATGTTCATTGTTTTAAGCCAAAAATATTAGCCTTAAAAATCACTTTAAAATGTAAAGTGTATTTAAACCAAACAATGAACTTCTCTTTTTTTTGCTCCCTTTCAGTATGGTAAATCCGTGGGGAGATGCAGCGTGGTGCAGTGGCAGTATTAAAATTAAGCTAAAATTAATGCAAAATTCAGCAAAACAAACCTGGTGGGAAGGAGCCCAACTGAGAACAGTCACAGAATGCAACAGCGGTGTGTAGCAGAGCAGGTCTCAGGTGTGTCGATAGCGCCTGTCTTGAGGTGCGTAATCCGGTCTGGCCAGTCTGCCCCCAAATGGGAGGTGTCCAGGAAGGATGGCATGTCCCTATCCTTTTCCCTACTCATCTTGAACCTCTCCGTGCTGCTAATCACGTCCCTGACTGACGGGTGACCTGTCCCTACACTACTAACACGCAACATGTGTGCCAAGTCTGGAAGTCAGGATCTCAAATAAGCTTTGCCTGACCCAAGATGGCTGCCGAGTCACAATGGATCAGCAGTATGCAATCGAATAGCTTCCCAAAACACCTCTGCTATGCTTTGGAGAAGATGGAAAGGAAAAATGTTCTCGTTTCCAAACACACTTCCTGCGCTAGGATGCCAAGGGTGTTCCTCCATACATAAAAAGTGAACAGTGAGTGACAGGAACATGTCACTGGCAGGAAAATTTAAAAAATGGAGCCTAGAAAAAATCATGCAGTCACCACATCTAAAGAATGGTAATCTGCAGTGTATTACATTTTTCTCTTAGGTTCAGATACACTTTAGGCCCCATACACACTGTACGTTTAGCCCCAGTGCAGAGGGTTGTGGCATTTTGGGAGTGGAGGGCTCAGGTGCGCCTTCTAGCTCTGTTGCCAGCAGCTTGTCAGACTCTCTGAGAGGCAGCTGTTGTGACTGGAGGGGTCTGGATGGTACACCCTGCGGTACTTCCATTTAGGGCAGCATGCATGCAGTCTAGGGTCTTGGCATTTGTCCCTGGGTGCATACTGCCTAAATGTTTGTACTGCTAGGTGCACCATCCAGCCTTGTCCAGGAATAGCAGCTGTCAGCCTCTCATAGAGCTTGGCAGGGTGCCTGCAGCATGGCTGGATGGTGCACCTGTGCTTTCCAACCGCATTTAAAATCCCAGAGCCCCATACACCGGGGCTAAAAGCCCATTGGGCCTTAAAGTCAACAAGTACAGTTAACCAGCCAATCAACCAATGATTTCCAGAAAAAACACTACTATTGTTCTGAATGTTAGAGTGCATCTGAACCCCAGAACAAAAATATATATATATTTTTTTTTTCATTTTATTTTAACCTAGTTACATTGCCAGCTGTAACTTCCTGTCCCATACCTCCCAATCTTTTGAGACAGGAACAAGGGACACCTATTAGCAAACATATGTAGCCTAGGACACCACCCCCTGCCATGCCCACTTAGTGTTTTTTAAACCACTACTAAGTCTTCATACTTTTTTTTACAAATGCACAATTTAGAAATTGGATGAAAGGTTTCTTTTGGAAACTCGGGCACTGCCCGAGGGCCTGAAATTTAGGGGGCCCCAAATGCCCCTGGTACAAGGCTTTTTTAGTTTGAGCAAGGACACAGGGGACCCATGAAAGGTTGTCAGCACTGGGAAACACTTTTTGAAAGATAAAAAGTGCAATTTATATACAACTAAATAGATCAGACCAAAATGAGGGACAAATGAGGATGAAAGAGGCACAGAGGGACTTTGTTCCAAATCAGAAACAGTCCCCTCAAAATCAGGAAAAGTTGGGAGCTCTGCCCTGTCCTAAGGTGATAACACTCACTCACTGGCCATCCGGAATACCAGCAAACATACAGATAATGTTTTGGATAACCTTAGTCATCAAATGAGGGTCATAGCAATATTACTGGGTTTACATTTTGGCTAAAGTCACATCTCCTTTTTTTTTTTTCGTATGTTGCCATTCATCTCTAAGGTTTGTTTTGCTGGGAATAACTCCAAAGATGCAACAAAAAATTTTTTTTTACAACAAAAAATATTTTTAAGTTTTGGATAGCATAGGGAAGGGTTAACTGGCCATGTAGTGATGTGCGATTGCTGACGGTCAGTAGGACAGTAGGTTGCAGCAAAGCGGCGAGCAGCAAGATGGCTTCCCGGCAATTTCCGGGACCAGCGTGACCTCATGCTGCCTCCATTCTTGAGGACAAATCATATGTATGTTGGATGTTTGTAACTCAGGGACTGCCTGCATATCCCATGTTTCAGTAGTCAAAGTGAAAAGTGTCCTAGCCTGTCAATTGGTCACCCAACTAACAGGAGCAGTGATGAGTCTTCACGTTGCTCTCTCATGTCATAGGCATTGAAGAGGGGTCTTCTAGCGTCCAGTACTGGCTACAAGAAACTGATATCAATACAAATCTGGATGCTTAAACTAATTGTAATAAGAATTTTTTTTTTTTTACTTAGCTGCATTAACTTTTTTTTTCAATCTGTGCCACTAATTCAATGTGTTCAGAATGTGCTTCTGTTAAAGTGATACTAAAAGGTCAGTTTTTTTTTTTTAATAATAAACATGTCTTATTTGTTCTGCACAGTGGCTTTTGCACAGAGCATCCCAGATCCTCCTCTTCTCAGGTCCCCTGCCGGCGCTCCTGGATCCTCTTTTCTGTTGGGTGCCCCCATAGCAAGCAGCTTGCTATGGGGGTACACAAACAGGTCTGCTCCTGAGCCGCTGCTCTGCATGTCCATTCACACACGGAGCTGCGGCTTGGCCGACTCTGTCTCCTCATTGACTCACTGGCTGTGATTGACAGCAGCGGGAGCCAATGGCTCCTCCTCAGCCATCGAGGAGGCAGAGACCGAGGACAGCCGAGGTTTTCTTGAACATCGTTGGATTGAAAATGGGGCTCAGTTAAGTATTAGCGGGGCTGGGCAGGCCACTGCACACAGAAGGTTTTTTATCTTCATTAATGGAATGCATGAAGATAAAAATCCTTGAGCCTTTACAACCACTTCAAGGTATATAAAATGTAAATGGATGACTCACCCAGATGTAATATTACTGGCTCTTTCAAACTGCTATGCTCCACCCGGCAGTAGACACTTTGCTCTTCTATCAAACTCCCAGTCATCAACACTGTTATCTGGTAAGTCCCGTCTCCATTGGGTAGGATCCCAGTTGACACACCACATCTTCTATTTTATTCTCCTTCCACAAGCTCACGTTGATTGGTTTTGGAAAGAAGCCGGTCACCATACAGATGACCTCTGTTTCGGATTTGCCAGGTCGCCTGGTAATGTAGACTTCTGGCTTTGCTAAGAGATACAAAGCAATTAAGAAAAAGAAAAGAATGGATTTATTGTGAGGAGTAAGGCTAGAGTTTGGTTCTAGGGAGTTAATTGATAGGTAAAGTCACTGGGGTACAAAGGCAGCATTTCTATACCCAAAACGTTTTTTTTTTAGTTCTGGATAGAATGGGGAAACGTTAGAACCACTTTCAGGTTTTAGGATTATGAGAGATTTCCCCTTACATTCTGTTCTGGGAACAACTATAAAAAACTGACAGATGTTCTAGCGTTTCTCTACTTAAAATGGAACTATGGACAAAATCCAAAATGACATATTATATAAATGAGCATTTGCAACCATGACTGAGCACAGAACGGTCCATGGATCACTGAGGAGCAGGGATCACTGTGGTCTGGTTGGCAGAGGTGATGACATAAGCGTTTCTGAAACACTTGCTTAAAACCAACCCAATGTGAGTGCAGACCAGTGGGGGAATGGAGGAGGAACAATTCAACTCAGACACAGTTCAGTTCAACCTTGCCCAGTGTGAACAGACCCATTTTTTGAAACTTCCGTTCAGGGGCGGACTGACAACTCATTGGGCCCCCGGGCAATAGGGGATCGTGGGGCCCCTGTGTCCTTGCCCACACTCAAAGCACACCCAAAAAAGCCTATAAAAAAGGTACAGGGGCATCTCATGGGGCCCCCTACTGACCCCGGGCCCTCGGGCAGTGCCCGAGTGTTCGAATGGTCAGTCCACCCCTGCTTCCGTTAACAGACCAGGATTTGGGATAGACTGATATACTAATGGCACTAAATGACACCGTTCATACATGTCAGTAAGGCCGGGCATACATGGGTCGATTTCCGAACGATTTTTCATTCAAAAATCAGACCTAAGAATATTGAGCCGATTTTCGCTCTTTTAGTGGGGCCGATTTTCGTGGTTTCTCCCCATTTTGTTTATCGGGCATACTGGAAAATTTGTGAAAAATGACTGATTTTCGAAATCATTGGTGGCACCTTCGGATTACAGAACAAACAATGTTTTAGATTTTCGATCGCAAAATTGTTTGGAATTCAACCCATGTATGGGCTGCTTAAGTGTCAGAACTTGTGAATGTGTCAGAAGCAACGCCTCATGGGACATGTAGTCCTGGCAGGAGAGGGAAGTGATTTCAAGTTATTCTAAAGGCAGACTTTTTTTTTTACCTTGTTGTAGAGGCACTCTATACTATATTTGCTACAAGGGCATTCTGAAGGCAGTAGGAGACAGAAGCGCCGGTGAGGATCCCCAGAAGAGGAGAAACGTGGCTGCTCTGTGCAAAACCATTGCACAGTGGAAGTAAGTGTGACAAAAAAAAACAACCTTTACAATCACTTTCAGGGCTCTGTGCAGGGAAGATCAGCATCTGAACCCAGAGAAGCTGGAGGCTGAGAGACTGGAGGTAATTTGAGGCATTACAATTACAGTTTAAGTAAAAGATTACCAGTATTGAGCATTATATTTAAAATGCAAAAAAAAAAGTCTTCAGTCATATAAAAGATTTACATTCCCCTTTAGTACTTTCACAGCTAAAATACCATGTATATCCTACTTCTGGGTATAGTGTGTGTATATATATATATATATATATATATATATATATATATATTATACTTTAATTGTTTCACGGTATAAATGCACCCCTTATGGTAGTGATTATCTGCTGTTTTTGTACTATAAAGAACAATTTTTTTTTTTCTAACCCTATCATGACAGCTGATAAAAAAAAAGCATGCTGCTGCTTCTGTATGTCTTATACTGGCCATCCACATATTGATTTTTGGCTGAGAATATTTATTTGAATATTCCACTTAAAATTCTTTGTACATTCAATGAATGAATGAGAGTCTTTTGAAAATGTCACTTGCTTTTAACATTCAATTTAAGGCCTTATGCACACAGGGAGTTTTTGTAGCCACTTTTAACCTCTTGGCACTGGCTGCACGCAAATGTGTGGCCTCCCGGTGTCTGGGCCTTGACCCCGAGCGGCCGCACATTTGCGTGCAATTAAGAAAAAACATATGCGCTGAGAGTGCGTGCCCTGCACTCTCCCAGCACACATGTCCGGTACTCAAGGAAAGGTCCCGATCTCTTTTTTGATCGGGACCTTTCCCAATCATGTGACAGCAAATCTTGGCAGTCACATGACTCTGAAACCCTGCCCCGCCTCCTACCTTAAAGGGCCAGGCGGTGTCGGCACCAAAGGGCTAAGGACGTCACATACACGCTTTCAGTATCAGTAGCATTTACTAACAGGAGAAAAAACCAGGGCCCATGCATCCAAGAGCAGCAGCGTAGTGGCAGAAAAAATGCTTGACATGTATAAACACCTCTAAAAGCGTGTTAACGCTAGGTGCATTTAGTGCTTGACTGTTAAAATAATTTCAGTGGTCTGAATAAATTATTATTCTGGCCATTAAATGAATTATCACCCAAGTGCTTGGTGCCTGTAAATGCACCTAAAAAACTTGTAAAAGCTTTAGACACTTTGACAAGCATCAGGCTTTTTTTGCCAAAATGTTGCTGCCAAGAGGGAGGATTTTTTTTTTAAAACATGCTGTGTGCATGAGGCCCTAAAATAAATGTAATTTTTGAACAAAAACCACATACACTATTCAATTTGTTTTATCAAGAAAGGTTTCTATTCTGCGCTTTCAAAATTTTTCATCACTTTGGTCAAAAACAAATGTCGATTTAACCCCACTAACGATTAGAAAACCAAACGAACGTTCTTAGAATTAACATTTTCAAAGAAGAAATTTGTTTTTGTTTGGCTGGCATAACCTGAATATACATGGTCTGAATATCGGCCAGTTCAGCAGGAAATTTGTACAGCTGTCCTTCCATCAGAAGCCGGTCTAATGCTGGCCATATTATAGTTGAAAAAATTGTTCAAAATTTGTTTCGAATAGCATCATGTAATGACCAAATTTTGAACGATAAATCTGTCAATGGACATAAATGAATCAGTTTTTCGTTTGTTTTGTCACATATGCTCGTTACGAACGTTTGATTTTCCAACCTTTTCCTTTGATTTTATGGTTCAAAAAAATCAAAACCGAGATTCTATTTGAGCCCATTAACTGGACGAAAACAAACCAAACTGTCCAAATGATGGATTTTCAAATGTTTTTTTCGGCTAGTGTATGGCCACCATAAGGACCATCTTTTCTCAAAGGGACATGCTGGAAAACCAACATAATTAGTGTGTTCTGGTGGGGACCTGTGAGAACACAAAGGCACAGTGGGAGAAATCGCTGTACTAACATCGCTTAGAGAGTACAACGATCTCTCTGAAAAAACTGAATGTGTGTACCAGGCTCAAGTGATAGCAGGTGCAGGTAGCATGCATGTATCAAGCTACCTGCCTATGACAAGGGACTCTGCAAGGCATAATATTATCTCCCAATCCTGTCTGAAAATCTGCAAAACTGTGTTTTAGGTCTTTTTACATTTTGGTTTTGTTTATATAGTGCCCCTCTAGATGGCCAGGGGGAGCTAGTTGCTAATTGTTAGTTAGAAAGGATGAGCAGCAGCCTGGGAATAGTAAGCTGGGTCAAATTTGGGTCAGGGTTGAGAGGCTCTGCATATCAGTTCCTTGATACCTCCCCCTGCTCTACAGTCTTGGAGAAGATTCTTGAAGCAGTGGGCAGGGGTGAAAAGGGGCTGATCTGCATACTTAGGGGATCCTGACAAATCCCCAGGCAGGAAGCTTGGCATAAGGTCAGGTATGAATGACTGAGCTTGCTCAGCAGCAGGAGAGTTTGGGTGAAAGATGGGAGAGAGGAAGAGATGCAGAAGCCTGGGAGAGGTCCAGTGGGAAGGGGCCTACCTATAGGCTTGGACCTGGACAGGAGGGTCACTCAGCCTCACCAGTCCCCGGGAGGGAGGATTACCTGTGGAGCCAGGAAAGGAGCCAGCCCAGCTGAAGGCCTGAAGGCAGCCACCTACCTAAACCAGTATAAAGAGACTGAGTAAGTAATCCTACACCCCCTGGGCCAGATTTGTCTGGGGGGGAGAGGGCATTCTGGTGGGAAACCTGACTAGCTCCTTACCCATGACTGTTAAACTTAAAGTGGCAGGCACTGGATCGATCCTCTTGCCCAGGGATTCCTCCAGACAGTTGGATATAGAAGAGACTTTATCTGGGTCTGGGGTTGTACACCCCCTACACCCTTACCCCATTCAAGTTCAAATACCCCTAATAAAAACAAAAAAAAACAAGCTCAAGGATTGTTTACTGTCTCTGGAATGCAAGTCTTTTTACAAAGTACTCCTGGGGAGAATGGAGCCACCCGAACAATGTGGGTTGCATTGTGTAGTGGAAGCAGATTGGGGGAATTCCAGCAATCCCCTGAAGCAGAAAGAGGCATGGCATCTGGGATCTCTAGACCTGGTGTGGCAGGGCAAGGATGGTCTGCAATGGGGATCCCCTACCAGGACCAAGGGTGAGTGCCCCCCCAAAACCAGAAAAGTTGAGTTCCATAGGTAACCCGAAAGAGAGCCTCAATTGTCATTACAGTAACAGTTACAGTAAAGTGTAGAAAATGAATTTTATGTGTGGACATTCCTTTATTCTCAACTATTAAGGACCCAGGTCAGAAATGTCAAGAGTGAGCTTATGGTTAGTAGTGGGGAAAAAGTGGAACAACACCTGACTAATCCTACAAGCCTACAGGTATGTAAAAGCTCCTTTTTCTAAAAGCTTAATGGTGGGTTTTAATCTACTGGGGATTTTTTTTTATAAGCTCATAGAAAAAAAAATACGTTGATAATAGTGTTTTTGCGGCAGCTTGTACTGATGTTATAGTTGTGTTTAGAAACATTTAGGAGTGTTAGCATTTTAATAGCATTTATATATGAGTTTTGAAATTTCCTCAATAGAGCCAATTCTTAGAGTCTTCGGTGTGGTGCCAACACCACAGAT